GAGGCTCTTTGACCGTCCGCGGAGAAAGCGCTACATCAGCGACAGTTCTGAGGAGGAGGGAGCGACCGAGGGGAGCCCTTTGGCCCAGCCGTTGATGGATACGCCGGAACCCGACCCCGAAACCCTTGTGAGGCAGACCGGTGAGCGTGACGGCCTCTCTTTGTCCACCCCCTTAGAGGTGGAAGGCGATCGTGGCTCGGGGGAGTCACAGGCGGACAAAGCGAACGGAAAAGACGGCGCTCAGGTAAATGAATGCTTAAGAAGCGGCGGTCGAGGAGGGGTGGGTAATGGGTTAGGAACCGGGATTGCGTAAATTAAAAAACAAGCAGCGGGGGTGCTTACACGTTTTCTTTTTTGAAATTTTTAACAGCTCGACGATGCCTTTTTAGAGGACCCGGACAGCGATGCATCAAGCAGTGAAGATGAACTGGGCCCACCATGCTTTTGCTCAACGCCAATACGAGTTGTTGAAGAGGACTCTGAGGATGATGGCTATGAGGAGTTTAGGAGGCGGCTTGGCATAGAACTAACTGAGCCAGTGCCACATCGTGAGCGTAAAAGAGTTATGAGGACTATTGTACGCGTTGCTGTTTATGCTATCCTTAAACACTGCCTTAGGCAAAAGCTTTTTGAAGATTGTGAGGGCTGTGTCATAGATGCGCCAGGCCAAAGGCACCATGACTGTGTGACTTGGACTTCGGTGGATATAAACTGCAAGCTCCGGGGCCTGTGTGCTGAGCTGTGTTTGGAAAGCTTATTAAACACTGTTGTTGCCATAGGCTATGGTATGCAATGTTTGTGCCTTACCCAAGAACATTTAGCGCAAGGGGTGACCTTGATAAATGCTGTGCAATTTAGTGCAGACCCTGACCGTGTTCTAAGGAAAATGACCAAACCGGAAGATGCCTGCTTAGAGCGTTATATTGACCGTCTAGTTCGCACAAAGAGTTACAAAACCCTGCTTAAGAAAAAAACTCTTTGTAAGAAATCTAAAAGGATTAAGTTAGAGAATGGTGAGGGGACAAACATGCGATATAAAACTTGGTAGCTGTAATTTGTTTTAAAGGGGGGGCTTGTGACTATTTGTGTTTTGTTAGAAGGCCTTTAAGTGCGTTAAAAAGTTTTAATAAAGCATTTTGTTTTTGTTTTTAAGAAGCTGTATGTTTTTTAAATAAAAAAAATAAATTGTTTGTGAGAATTAGCTCTTGTGTTTTGTGTGTGTGTGTAGCAAAAAGCTGAAATGTATGTTGTAGGGGAAAAAAAAACCT